TCCCACTTTTAACGGTTATAAAAAATTCAAGACCCCTTGGAAATTGTAGGTACTTGTGATAGGTACGTCGTGGTGGCCCGGAGGTTTATGACGCACTTCTCATACATGAGGGTGCTGGTTCGAAACCTACCAACGGCAAGTACCAATGTGACTTTTTCCGAGTCATATGTACTTTCTAAGATTATTTAGACACCACTGATAAACGGTGAAGGAAAACATCGCAAGGAAACCTGGACTTATAATTTCTAATTATAAGTTTGAAATCACCAACACGCATTGAGCAAGCGTGGTGATTAATACTCAAACCTTCTCCGTGTGAGAAGAGACTTTGCGCAGCAGTGGGCATTTATAGGCTGTTGATGATGATGTGAATGGGACCATTTTAGCAACGAGTAAACGAAGCATTCATCTTTACTTTATGTGGCATTCCATCAAGATTTTAAATACTTGGTCCATCATCAATAAGTTTATGCACATCATATTATGTGTCATAAACTAACCTACCGTTAGCCCAAATTTTAACAATGATCAATTTGTAACACAATGCCTTGTCATCTTCATTCCGCCATGCACCACAACAATATAAAGTTACATGGTCCATATTATGCACTTATATTAAGACTATAAGGTGCACTTTGAATGTCTCTTTACTCAACATAACTTTTTTGACTATACATAACTAATTCATATGTCATATCCACAGTTAATACATGCGAGTCAATGTAAACCCGATTTTTAAAAGACTTTTTGAACAAATTCGCGATGACGGCCATCGGAGATCGGTATTCGTCGCCAAGTGATTACAAAACAGCGCCTACGCAACAATGACCCACAGCGGTGGACGGTGTCGCGAACCAATTGTACCCTACTTACCACAAGGATCTATTAACATGATTCAATATAGATATACATATTAGGTTATTTATAATACTTATCTAATAGTTGCTGAATCATTATGATATTCAATATTGTGTATATTATTTAGGACGACTTTGAAAATAGATTGTATTTTTTCTTCTAAAGATATGAGATGCATTTCTCAGTGTAAAAAAACAACCCATGTCTAGTTTATTCAACTACAGTTTAAATACAAAAATTAAATTCAATCTCTTTGATGTAATTTTTAATGAGATTGTTTATTTGTTGGTCTATAAAAACGAACACATTCACGTTTTTTTCTTAGATAAGTAGGTAGATGACATTAATCATAACTTATTGTTACCGTTTCTTTTATGAATTAATTGTTGTTTATTATATTAAATAAATTAGATACGCTTTATTATTAATAATACACTGATAAAAATAATATCGTATTTTTTTTTATTAAATTAAGGAAATAAGTCGTCGGGTCATTTAACCATGAGAATAATCTTGTGTTACAATAATTAAGTACACGAAAATTAGGGCCTGATTATTTAACACACGATCTTGGTGCTTAGTCTTGAAACCAATCTCAATGTCAATGCAATTTAAATCTAATAAAATCTCAATAATTATTCAATGTCAAAACTATACAACCCTTATCGTAGAATTCGTAGATGTTAAAATAGCATTCAGAGTACGGAATATGAAGCCAAACTCAATACCATTTAGTTCGTTCAATATCCACGCAATACGAATGCAATGGGCGCTTTTTTTTTAAGGGGGGAAAATCATCGAATGACTGCTACCGCCTGGGTGAGGCAGAAGGGAGTGTCAGACTCTTGACTAAAAACCACCCCGTTCCTTCTCCTGCACGTCGAGCCGGAGCCCCGGTTACCCGTTAGGTTGTCCGCGACTCCAAATGCAATGGGCGCTAGTGTTGTAACTCAAGAGTACGAAATTACACAATACCAATGTCGATTGATCGGAATTGGATTCAAGAGTAAACTGAACTAAACCCCTGATCTAGGTAGCCCTAATAAAATATTAAAAAGAACCTGGAACATAGCAATTTGATCTTTGATCATATCCTATAATACGGGAATTAGGTACATACATTCCACTCAATCCTTTTTTATTGGAAACTACAGCATGATTTTGTGTGAACTAGGAAAACAAACGCAATAAATGATGATGAGCAAAATTAATAGCAATACAGGACACTGTTTAATTAACTATTGTTCGTCCAATAAATATCCTGTTTTTTAGTGTTTTTCCTAATTAAAAATATAAAAAATACATCAAAATCAAATCAACACGTTGCGTTGCTTAATTCCAATTTTAAGTATTATTTTCCGTCATTTTGATTATTTATTACTAGGTACGTATCATATTTTATATTAATTTTATTATTAAAGACAGCTGAGCTAACGCTATGGATTTATTTAAAACTGTCTGAAGGTATTACCTTTCATCTTTTGCTATGCGGGTAGGTAAGATCTATTCTAGTCTAAAATAATTTTCGGTTGACGTAACATAAATATATCTCGCTACTCACTTTGAAATAAATTATAATTTCTAAACTGCAGTTTCAGTAATAAATTCTTTCATTATTTTCCTTTCGCATCAAAGTCCCCGTAAAAGTAATTCAACCTTGTATATTTTGAATCTGGTTTCAAAATGCAATAACAAGTTCAAAACTTTTGCGGTCAAGTACTTAGCTTCACACATTATTGTTGCAAGGTTAAGAATTACGTAAAATGAAGGATATTTATACCTTTATTGTATACTAGCTTCTGCCCGCGACTTCGTACGCGTAATCCCATTTTTTCCCGTCCCCGTTCGTGATTTTCGGTTAAAAGTAAAAAAAAATTGGTCAAAAAGTATCCTATGTCGGTCTCCTGGCTCTAAGCTACCTCCCTACCAATTTTCAGCCAAATATATTCTGCCGTCCTTGAGTTATAAATGGTGTAACTAACACGACTTTCTTTTATATATATAGATTTATGAAACAATTACAAATATACCTAACACCTATGTCTAGAAGATGACTTTACATTGTCGGAATACAATCATGCTTATTTGAGTGCAGTTTGACCACCAAGTTTTTCTATTTAATTCAACATTGAGAAATTCAACAAAAGTCTGATCGATTCTTGTCGATTCACAAAATAAACAATCATTGTATTGACCACCCTCAATAAAATGGCAATCTCGAGTCATATGCTTTACTTAGCTACCATTGATTTTCTAAATGAAGTCTGGACCTGTGTCAAGAGAGAGAACGAGAGAGTATGTACTACCAGTACTAAAGAGAAATAATAATATCTAATGAGAAAAAGAAAGGATATTTAATTTATATATATTATCTGTTCAACGTCATTGATAATATAAGACAACAGTTTAATTCGATTAGAAAAAAAAACGTTAATAAAAATAGAAATGTTTGCTTTGTAACACACCTTTCTTTGTACCTTCAACCTTTCACACTAAAAGCTGATAAATTGACATGTTTGTTCAGCAAACTTTGTCAAAGAACAGTTTACTTAAGGTTCGATAGAAACCTTATCAGGTTGATGATTGGTTTACCAACAATTAATTACGAAAAGTGGTTGGTTATTCGATACCGTCTAGTTCTCGCTTAGCACGTCATTGGGCCAATATGAATAAAGAACAAGTCAACAAGTGCCTGGTATATCGATTGAGACATTGTCAATTTGTGTATATGAAGTAAATTGATATCGAAAACCTAAAAGTATACGTACTTCCAAGAACAGTTACTTCATTAAATGGTCGTATGGACCTGAATATAAGTTTCTCTATGCACAGTTAGATCGACACTAACGGCAAGCAAAACAAGTGTTTCTTCCTTCTAAACATAAGTGTTTCTTCTTCTGTCCGATTTAGCTACTGTTTCATTCTGTCAGTAAATTTTTGATCGCCGAAATAAACCTAATACAACGAACTACTTAAAAATGTCACGGTTGAACGATCACTCAGAAAACACGTCACATGTTAGTTCAAACTCATTTTGCCCAAAAAAACTTCTGCTTTTAAATTAGTTAAAATAAAATTGGTAGCGATGACTTGCGACTATTTTCGCCAACACCATAAGGAAATGTGATTTATTTAAGAAATCGTTAATAGTTTAAGTTGTAGTAGGTAGACCTCGTCGATCGAGTACTATTGTTGTTATATTTTTTTTTACCAACATTTGTAATCTTAAACTATGTATAACGCGCCGTACCTACATGACTGTAAGCTCACCCACGCTAACGTAACGAACATTTAAGAGGGTTCCACATTTAACACACGTCTGCATGCCCCTTTGGAGTAATTACATAGTAGAGACCTAACGAGTGTTGATGTTGTTATAATGGTAGTGTTCAAGGTCATCCTCTTATGGTTGCTTTCCCCCCAAACCTCGTAACCTCGACCAAGGGTGGTTGCGTTTATATTTCTGCGTGTTACCATTCGTGCGGAAACCATTCGCCTGACTCATAAAAACTAATCAAATTTGCGTGCCCTAAGGAAATGTCACCAATTAAACGTGGATACGACATATGATATGACATTGGACAAAAATGGACCTCTCTATTTTATATAGTTACTAAGAGCTTTTAATGAATCAGATTCTATGAAATATTGCGCACCTGAAGCAATTAACTACTGTAGTGCTTACGCAGATTTATTTTACTTACTTGTTATAATACCCACTGGTGGTAAGCAAAACTTCCGGTACACCTGATGGAAAACAGTCACCGTTTACCATAGCTGAAAAACCTATGCAGTACACTGTACAGACGCCGAAAAATATTTTGCAGTCTTTTTAAAAGAGTCCAAACTATAGTGTATAGCAAAACTAAGTTCTCTAAGTAGTTCATTAAACAACTAGCTTATAAAAACGAGAGATGATATTCCTCTTAATTTCAGTACCTAATTTACTTTTTTCTAAAATAGTTTGTTCAAAAAAGACTGCGTAGTTTGTTATCAGAAAGAAAACACACTTCACGTTACCTCATAACTTTGTTAGTCCTTAATTGTTGATCAAAGATTTTGCATAAGTATTATTTAAATGTTTATTTTGTCCAAGGTTAATATAATGTTATGTAAAAGATGTAAAAATACTCAATACTTACGGGATAAATACTTAAGACGACGGCTACATGGTGCATTTGGTCTCGCCAGTGCTTGACCGCTGACCGTAGTGTGATGACGTATAAAGCACATATGATGAGCAGCACCGCAAGACCGCAGGCAAATATAACCCAAGCGTATGTCTGGAGTGCTGTGAAAAAAAGAAAAATATTACTAAGTTCCTCAGTAAATAATATAACGTACTATAGACTATTAACGCATTTAAGCACGTTATTGTTTTATTGTAATATACGTCAATATGCATTTATGTACGCTGTAAGAGAATAATAGATGGGAAACCATGGCTTGTAAGGAAATACTGCTTCCTCTCGAAAACGTTGCTCACCACCCGCCCGACTAGTTTCGACCCTAGAGAGGGGTTCATAATAATGATCAGCTTGCGCGACATCGTCGAAATATGAACATTTCCGTGATTAAACCGTATTGACTAATTAATTTAGTATCTCACGATAGTTATGACACAAACAAAACACAAAAATCATGATTATTAATGGTATACCTCTTCATTAACATTCCTTATGAATTTGAAATGGACGTAGGCCCTGCTTGAGTAGTCTAGTACCTAGGTATTGTCCTACTCAATGTTATTATAGCTGGTCACGCAATCTGCAAGGTTCGTATCCTACAAGAGAACACCCAACTGCTTACATAACTACTATTCTTATGGTAATAAACTGTGAATTAAGATCAATAAATGATTAGCGTCAATTACTTCGATATTAGGAATGTACATATTGTTATGTAAATTGTATACATGTGTACATAAGAACGACGTAACCTTTCGGCATTTTTGCCCTTCAATAAACATATCAACTGATGTTTGAACTAATAAAATCGATAATCCACACGCGGTTTTTGAGGAAACGGGTTGGGTAAGTCTGATTTGACGAAGAAACCCCATATCCCAATCTAAACATTTCTAAAGATATCGGCCTTTGAATTACTTTTATAAAAATTCCACATTTTGGTCCATTGCACCTGTTTTTTGTGTTTTGTGTCTCAATATTGTTCTGTTTTTTGCTATTTTTGTGTAGAACATTAGTTGATTTATTATTTAAAACCATTCAACTGCAAGTGACTATAGGTACCAACGGAGGCGTAGTAGACGAAGGATTATTAAAACAGAAATAGATTTGTGACAAGGTTTTATTTTCATAGTAAGATATTTTTTAAAGTCTATATTATAGACGGTAGTCTATACCATAGACCGTCTATACTATAGACGGTAGTCTACGGTATATACTTTAACCTTTAAATTAGAGGTGGTATGGTAACCTCTTAAAGGATTTAGGTCGACTTGTAACCCTGTAACCCTGTATATTGCATATACGATAAATAAATAGTAACTTTAGGTATGTATGCTTGAAATCTAATGATGAATAAAATATTCCAAAAAGGAATTGGTTGACGAATCCTACTAATACATATTAGAAATGCGAAAAGCTGTGTTTGAGTGTTTGTATGTTTGTTACACAACCACGTTAAAACGGCTGAAGGGATCGGGATGAAATTTGGAACAACGATAGATTATATGGTCTAGAATAACACATACAGTACTTTATTCCACGGGAAGCTAGAAGCTCTAAGCGAACACAGGCGTAAGGTTGCAAGCCTTTTAGTCTTCTACCAGATAAATTTCGGAGAGGGGGGAATTACACAACTTGATTTCCCCTAATCCTTTCCATCATCGTACCACAAAACAATCGGCGAAGCGTCACCGATTCATGATAGATGTCCCACCCACACGCACGAAGCGCTTCGCATTAAGCTTCCTTGTGCGTACTGCTAAGGAGTGGAATTCTTTGCCCGAGTCTGTATTTCTTGAAGAGTATAACCTGGGTGTCTTCAAGGCCTGAGTGAATAGGTTGCTTATGGGTCAACGTGTTCCATCGTAGGCCACATCATCGCTTACCACCAGCACCAGGCGAGATAGTGGTCAAACGTCAGTCCCATCTAATATAATTTAAAAAAAAAGCTAGCTAGTAGTGTTCTAAGTTCTCTGCCATTTTGAATATTCTCGCCACAACAGCTCTTTAATATTCTGAAATGATAAAAAATTGTAATGAATCGAACTTATCTATTGTTTTCACTAAGAACCTGTTTACAGGCTGACACTAGCTGTAGATTTTTACAAATTAAGTATAATTGGGTATCCATAATTGATTCCTTGAACTTTAGTTTCCTTTGGGTAATTCCTTGATCAAAAACTTGAATAAGACTGTTTGACATTTAAAATCTTTGTATAGACCATAGATACAGGGTGTAAGCTCCCGGAAAACGAGTGATGGTAAAAAACTAATTTCATTTTCATAATAGTAAGGAATTAAATGTTTCTTTTGTATAATAATAGTTGTAATCAACTGCTCACTGCTGATGTTGGATGAATAACATGAAAACAAAAACGATTATCATTGTAAAAACAATTTCTTTACGTCAACGTTTAGGGAGCGGTCCGTTTAAGTACAGGTTGTACTTATAATAATTTTTAATATTTTTATGGTATAGACAGAAAACTATCTATAGTACTTACATAGGTATGTATCAGACTAGTTCCAGTAACCGCCCGTAAGTTAAATTAATAAAAAACAAAAAGCTATAAGCTGCACAAAGAAATACAGCGGCAGCGTATAAAATCGGCCTGCGTTCGTGAAGTTTATTTTTTCTCATTAAGTACCTGAATAGCTGGTTCATGCCTACTAAATTATTTTTAACGTTGACATTGAAAATATCAAGATCAATACCTAGATATGGCAACATTGGTAAACGTGAACGAAGCGAACAAAAATGGTGGAATCGAAGCTTTTGGTGAACAATTCGTGTTATTCTCTTCATTAAATGATAGTTATTGGGCCATTTACTTTGACATACTTTTTGGCAATGGCAATCACTTACCACCAGCGACATAGTGGCCAAACGTTTGTCCATCAAATATTTTTATTATAATAAATAATATAAAAAAATCGTATTGTAACTAAATGTATGTTAACCACAGATTAACTTTAGAGTAACTGGGAATAACAATTGAAGTAATATTTTGTAGATAATCTTTGTGTGTAAAACAACCTTTGCGATACTCTTCTTATTTATTTCTCACGTGCCCGCGTTAAAAAACGTTATACCTACACACTTAAGGGAACACAATTGTTTATCCTTTTATACATCCGCTATAAAATGCCATTTAAATAAAGTTCAAATTACCAGAACGAAGGTAAGTAGGCATTTGCAATAAAGAAAATATGAAGAAAAACAATTGGCAATTGTTGTTGACCCAATGACGACATTTATAGGAAAACTAGCTGTTGCCCGCGACTTCGTCCGCGTAGATTAATGACTTCTGACAGAATTAACCAAAATCAATTCAGTGCCCAAGTAAGATTTACCTATTTTGAAATGATTTATCGTAGTTTCAATAAATAAATAATCCCGCAGGGATCTTACCAGTACAGTGCCCAATCACGTAAGGTTTGAGTAATAAAAATTATTCTATCGACTATTGTTGTACCGAATCTCTCTAGAATAAGTTCAGTGGTTAAGAGTTAGAGAGTCCTGGGGCATTGACGCATAGTTCCCGTTCTCGTGAGACATCTGTGAAAAAACTATCATACGTTACCCAGGTCCCAAATCATCGTTTTACCGAATTTAATTCAAAAAGAATCAATGATTCTAAATTCAATGGCTAAGAAGATTTATACAAACTCTCATTCCCTATTTTATCCCCTTAGGGGTGGAATTTATCAAAATCCTTTCTAAGGAGATACCTATGTCATAGCAACTTTATGCATGCAAAGTCTCAGCCCGATCAATTTAAAACTGGCAAAGTATCATACAAACTTTCACCCCCTATTTTACCCACTTTGGGGTGAGAATGTTCAAAAACCTTTCTAAAGGGACGTTTACGTCATAATATCCATCTGCACGCCGAATTTCAACCCGATCGGTGTAAAACTGACAAAGCTTCATACAAACGTTAATCCCCTACATTACCCCATTGGAGGTGGAAATAATCAAAATCCTTACTTGGGGATGCCTACGTCATAACATCTACCTGCATGCCGAATTTCATCTGCATCGGTGTAAAACTGACAAAGCTTCATATAAACTTTCACCCCCTATTTTACCCCCTTAGGGGTGGAAATGATCAAAATCCTTTCTTAGCGAATGCCTATGTGATAACATCTATCTGCATGTCAAATTTCAATTCGATCGATTTAAAACTGACAAAGTCTTATACAAACTTTCATCCCCTATTTTACCCCCTTGGGGGTGGAAATTATCAAAATCCTTTCACAGTGGATGCCTACTTCATAATATCTATCTGCATGCCAAATTTCCACCCGATCGATTTAAAACTGACAGTCTCATACAAACTTTCATCCCCTATTTTACCCCCTTGGGGGGTGGAAATTATCAAAATCCTTTCAAAGCGGATGCTTACGTCATAACATCTATCTGGATGCCAAATTTCAACCCGATCGGTTTAAAACTGACAAAGTCTCATACAAACTTTCATCCCTTATTTTACCCCCTTGGGGGTGGAAATTATCAAAATCCTTTCACAGCGGATGCCTACGTCATAACATCTATCTGCAGGCCAAATTTCTACCCGATCGATTTAAAACTGACAGTCTCATACAAACTTTCATCCCCTATTTTACCCCCTTGGGGGTGGAAATTATCAAAATCCTTTCAAAGCGGATGCTTACGTCATAACATCTATCTGGATGCCAAATTTCAACCCGATCGTTTAAAACTGACAAAGTCTCATACAAACTTTCATCCCTTATTTTGCCCCCTTGGGGGTGGAAATTATCAAAATCCTTTCACAGCGAATGCCTACGTCATAACATCTATCTGCATGCCAAATTTTATCCCGATCGGTTTAAAACTGACAATGTCTCATACAAACTTTCATCCCCTATTTTACCCCCTTGGGGGTAGAAATTATCAAAATCCTTTCAAAGCGGATGCTTAAGTCATAACATCTATCTGCATGCCAAATTTCAACACGATCGGTTTAAAACTGACAAAGTCTCATACAAACTTTCAACCCCTATTTTACCCCCTTGGGGGTGGAAATTATCAAAATCCTTTCACAGTGGATGTTTACGTCATAACATCTATCTGCATGCC